GCCAATGCCAAATGATTCTGGGAGCTCCCAAGCATTGATTCTCCGAGCTGGAAAGGAGTAACCTATTGCAATATTCCTCTGATCTTGCAAAACTGCATCATTTAAATAACAATCTGTGCTAATCTAGCATAAATAATCCACCATTTCTAGGATAATGGGAAGGAGTTGATACCAACCTACACCTCCTGAAGCAGAGAGAGCAGGTGAGGAATGGGCAAGAGAAAAATTAATTCCTCAGGGCAGATGGGCAGGAGTCTTACACGGAACTACAAACTGCAGCAATGTAGAACATTCCTGTCAAACCCCACCTTCACAACAACGTGGAGACCTTTCCTGCTGGCTGAAGAGGTTTGGTGCAGCCATATTAATGCAGACCTGATTTGGCTTCCATTTATTTCTCTTTTTTTTTTTTCCCCACCAGCAGTTCAGGAAGGTCAGCTGAGGTGTGCACAGCATCCTCCCAAAGTCCTGCTATACGGGATGATGGGAACACAGAGCCACTACCAGTGAATGTTGTATTAGATCAACTGGTATTGCTGGAAATATCAGGCAAACTTTCAGGTCTGCAAGCCCTTATTCAGATCTGAAATAGAAGCAGCAATTTTCTGAGCTAAATACAAGCTGAGAACAAATGCTTAAATGTTAATTAGGTATGTATCAATTAGGCCTTTGTTTAAAGGAAATGTATTTGGGAGCTGCGGAGAAGAAAGGATGGGAAAGAGGGCGGAAAATGAGAGACAGAGAAAGTYAAAGTTAAATGAAGCTGCTTGTCACCTGGGGGGAGGAAGAGGCAGGTAGTTTATAGCCTGGGGAACAAGAGTCAATCGTGCTGAGTGGGAGGAGAGTAATCATAAAAGTCACATCTGCCGAGAGCAYGCTCCTCCATATCAAGTGGCTTCGTGAATTTCAATGCTCAGCCTCATCTTTAGGAGGGGTTTTGGAGGCTGTTGGGAAGAAAAGTACTGAGATGCCAAAGGTGTTGTGGGAGCAGTGTTCTCCCCTTGGCAGMTGAGGTTTGTTGGGTTTTATTATAGCTTGAAAATGTGAGCCCACTTTGGTCTGTCCTGACTGCTTAATTTTACTGACACAGTCCCCATGGGGCCACTGGATTCATTTCATGGTGTTGTTGGGAATGTGGGTGTGGGATTTAGAGAAATTCAGAGAGGGAGAGCTGGGGGTGGACATCATTTCCTTGCTTCAGATGGGGAAGATCTATTTGGGTGCAAAGTGAGAGTTAATAAGATGTGTTACCTCTGAAACTCAGGGAATCCATACTCCAATTTTCCATGAGCTTGTGCTGGGGAATTTGATAGGAAGCCGTGTTTTTCCTGCAGGATCTTTTTGAGGAAAGGGATGGWGAGTCCTGTAACCAAAGAGCTATTCCCATCTATGTCACTGGGAGGCCCAAACACTCAAAAATGCTGCATTTTACGTTAGCAGCACCACATATCATACATTCAACCAAATAAATACTGAAAACAGAAGCTCTGTTCAATCAGATCAGTAAGAAACCAAATGTTCACTCAATATTGTGAGTGYTCTTCAGTGAGAGTTCATCTGTTGATTCCACTCAGCCCACACAAACCTGAGGTGCATTTTGTTGAAACAAGAAACCTCCAGACGAAGCCAGAGTTATTTTTAAGTGGCTTTGTATTAAAGGAAGCCTGAATTCTCTACGAAATTTAAAACTGGTGAGACAAGTTTAGGAAACCTTAGTGTGGCATGAAATACTGTTTATCTTCAATGCATTTTTTCCCTGCATATACAAGCACGGAATTCAAATTAGAACATTTTGTAAGGAARCATGGAAGGGTTTTATATTATCAAACTGTGCACAGTCTGTGAGCAGTAAAAAGCTGGATACTTCTAGATTACTAAAATGTCCCTCAAGTCATAATTATAAATCAATATGCATGTGTACAAAAGATTGGTGTCTCCATAAAGTGCCTGAAATTCAATATTTTTAGTCTACCGTGCCTTCTGAAAGTGCCTGCATATTTTATATTCCCCGTGAGCTGAAAATTGTCTCTGTATTTTATGTATTGTTATTTGTGGAGCTCTATTTGCAAACATAAGTAACAGCTAGTACTGGAGATGATATACAGGCTGTACAACATGCCTGGAGAAAACAAATCTGGAAGGAAATAAATGCCCCCAACCATAAATTCCAAGGATATGACGAGAATTTTTTTACCTCTTGCCAAYGCTGTTAGGATGAATTCCATAGCTGTGTGGGATGAATTCTCGTAGCTGGCAGGAAAGGAAAGGAGCTCCAGACTCTGGGAAAGGTGCGTGTTTCCATGGCTGTGGTACCTGCTTGTGCAAAAAGGCTTTGTTTGTTTGAGCTGGTAGAGGTGGTTTGTTTGAGAGGTGTGAGCAGGGGGTGTTCATTCCTCCTGCTGCTGTGGGGTGTCCATGGGTGTTTTCCTGCTGGCAGGTGGTCCCTGAACACCTTGGAGCAGTGTCCAGGTGCAAGGCAGGATGCAGAGCTGGCAGGTGACCTGTCTGGGGTGTCCCTGATGTCTGACCAACACAGCTTAGAGCTGTCAGCAGGGAAGGGGCTCCCTCGTGGTTCCCAGTTCTGAAGTCTCACTTAGAATCCTAAAACAATTTGGATTTGAAGGGATCTTAAAGGTCATCCAGTTCCACCCCCTGCCATGGCAGYGACACCTTCCACTGTCCCAGGCTGCTCCAAACTCCATCCAGCCTGGCCTTGGACACTGCCAGGGATCCAGGGGCAGCCACAGCTCTGGGCAAACCTGGTCCAAGTGCCTCACCACCTTCCCAGAGAAGATTTTCTTCCCAGTACCCCATCTAACCCTTTATAGTTTCTSTCAGTTTGAAGCCATTSCCTTTGTCCTCTCATTACAGTTTCAGATGAAGCATCCATTCCCAGATTCCTCGTAGCCCCTCTTCAGACATGGAAGGCCCTGCTATGAGGTCTCCAACCTTCTCTTCTCTGATTGTTCATTCATCAGGAGTGCCAGAAAGCGCTTTTCTCCAAACACAGCCTGCAGACCAATTTTGGGAGCACTGCTGGTGTCCTGTGATGGGCCTCAAGCACCAGGTAGCACAAGGTGGGAATCTCAGTGGGGACTCCCCAGCCAAGAAATCACCTTGTTGCTGACACAGTCTCAAGTTTGTGTCCTCTGACCCATGGCACCAACAGAGAAATGTGTTTGATTAATGTGAAAAGATACAGATTGAGTGGAGAAAAGCTTTTCTTCAGTTCTAGGTTGGCTGCTTTACTATGACACCGAATAATATCAAAGCTAAGCTTGAAAACAAGGACTTGGAGATAAACAAAGAGGTTCAGCTTGATCCTTTTGCAAAACACAACCCAATGAGTCACCATTTTCTACTGGGAAACCACTGTCTCCATACAGTTTCTAGAATTTTTTCACTTTTCTGACAACCAGGAGGMCTTGTTAACAATGCACATGCACAGAAAGCCAAGGCTCTGTGGGCTTTACCCCACCAAGTGCAGGCTGGTGTTACCCTAAGCATCTCTTCCATGTGATGCACATTCCTCGGATAAAGTGGATTTTTGTTTGTGTTTAGGTTGCATTCAGTGGTAACAAGGAGATGTCAGCAACAGGAATATTTGTATCAGAATAAGKTTGATGTTTCTCTCTGTGCATGTTTAATTCAAAGAAAATAAGGGTATTTTCAARGACAATTTGAAGATACACCACAATGTAAATTGTTTATATTTTTCTCTGTATTTCAAAGCTCCTCCTTAGGCAAACAAGTTAGGAAGGCTGTAGATGGTCAGAATTTGAAACRGCTTTGTGTACAACCAGCACATGGCAGACCCGCACTTGTTCTGACAGACTGGCTGAAAATGCCACCAGAAGTGCAAAATCTGCCAYGAGTTAAGGAAATACCAAATGCTAAAAGTGCTAAACAACTTCTCTTTCCTGAGTTCGGGTTTCAAATTCCTCCATTTCATTGCACAAAGTATCATTGGAAGTGATTCTAAGCAGTGGCTTCTTCAAGAGCACCTGCGTTGGTTCGTACTGAAGATTAACATGAGACACACTGAATAATTCAGAGTTCTTTGAGTGGGAAGAAAGAAGAGCACTTTGAAAATAACTTGTTTTTCTGGAAGAAGTTTGCCTTTTCGTAAAAGAAAAAAAAAGTAAAATAGTAAGCTTGAACTTTTTATTATGAAATATAAAATTTCAGACAAAATATTTCATCAATTTTAAATAGGGTTCATGTGCTGGATCTGCTCTGTTGAGAAGTTTGGATGCCTTGTTAAAGTGCATATCCCATGGTCATTATCAACATTATCCCTGAGGAAAAAACACTGTTCCAAATGAATTCCACCATTGCTGTGACACAACTCGGCCCACAAGTAGAACAGAGATAAAACATTCAAGCAACAACCCTTCAAAGAGTTTAAAATTTACATTTTTCCACGYAAGATTTTTGAATTTCAGGGGGTTTTTTTTTAAGAATTTTTTGGCACTTGGGTGATGGGTTTTTAGARCATCGGATTTTAGGCAAATACCTCTTATAAAATAATGTATTGAAATGGAGAAAATTCAGTTCTGATCCAAAGATAGTTTTGCTAGAAATTTTGAAGCAACCCTCCTGAAAACTTCCCTTGATTCTGTTACAGAATGGGGATGGAAAAATGTTGTTGATCTGAAAGCTCAAGATGATCAGCTGTACATAAAATACCTTTTAAAGTGTAGCTATTGTATTAAACATTATTATTATTATTAATCTTTTTTTTCTGAAATAATAAATATCTTGCATTTTGAGTCCTTGATCTTGCTGTAACATAACATTCCTGCCTGACAGGAGTTTTGCTGATTTCCTTGGGACCCAAAACAGGAATTCTTCTTCCGAAGTCCCATCAAACTCATTGTCTTGGAAGTTAAAGCTGTCCATTTATGCCATTTGCATCCATTATTTTGCTATCACATGCTGCATCATACAGGTTGCAATTTTATTTCATTTCATGAGAAAAGAACAAGGAAAAGAACTTAAACTGAGAGAACTGGTTTTAACTTTTCTCTGYTGCAGGAAGGCATCCAAACCTGTAAAAATGCAACTGATGGAGAAATRTCTTGGAGAAGCACATCCTACACGAGTGTCACATTCCTAATTTTCTTTGGGCTGATCGGGTAATCAGTACGTCTTTGAGGTCGCACCTAGGGGAGAGCAAAAACAGTTACAGAACTAAAAGAAATCCTAGAAAAGCAGTCCCACGAGGGGTCTCAGGAGGTTACCTGCCAACCCCTCACCCCGGAGCATTACAGCAAAATGAAATCTATCATCAGCAGCCCACTCAAAATCTAAATACAAAGGAAAGCACGAGAAGCAGAACGAAACAAAAGCTTCACATGCAACACGCTGCTGGCAGTTCTGGGAATTCATTATCTGATCTGATGCTACCTGAGAACTTCTCGTGGCCCCTGCAGTCTGTGTTCTTCTAAGCAAAATGTGATGCTGGTGTTTCTTCTGGTTCTCTTAAAGAAAATACCTGTTAAGCTCTAAAAAATCTGAACATTTGCTTTCCAAATCCATTAGAAATCACAGCAAACAGCGCACTAGCTTTTCACGTGGCTGAAAGATCACTCTCAACATCTCAATATTTATTCAARGCAGGCTTTTTTAAACTTCCCATCRCTGGCAGGATTCCACTTCCACTGGCTGCAGCCTGTTCTCAAACTGCCCCCGGTGGGATCAGAGCAGGGCAAATACTCAGCAGYTTTGGGAAGCTTTTCCTCATCTGAAACAAGTGCAGTCCTAATTACTTCTGTGCTTTTACAAAATATCATTGGTGAGGAAAAGACAAGGAAAAATTCACTCTCAAATGAATCCAAGTAACATAAACTTTGGATTTTTAAATGTAGTAGCAAGATCTCCCTGCAATTCCTCACCTGGTCTCTAGCCCKAGGAAATTAATGGGAATTTCATTGTTTCTCCCAGTGACATCTTTTATCAAGCCCAACGTAGCTCTCTAGCTACTGACCAATCTTCCTGAGGTTTGCTTCTGGAGCATTAATCATGCACAGTCTGTGTTGCTCTGGTATTCTTCYAGTATTAAACATCTTCAATAATGCATTCGGTACAAATACATTATTGAATAACATATGGAGGCAAATGTTAGATAACAAATGTGGACAACATAACTCTCGTTTTTAATGAGYCCCAGCACCACAAGGAAAACTGGGGGATAAATTTAACTATCCTAGAAACATTTCACAAGACAGCTGCCTTCTGTTTTAAACACAACTCTCTTTCTCCTCCCTCCCATCCCTTCTTGTTGTTAGAACATGCCGCTATTTTCTAAATTTATCCTTCTTTACTGTTTATTTTTGCAGAGAGGAGAGGTGCTTTGGAAGGTAACAGGATTGTCTGGCTCTGCTCAAGGACCTTTTCCAAGATTGTTCTGCTGCACTTAATTTCTTGCAGTTAAACCCAAAGATCTCAGTGGTGCTGAGCAGAGAAGCTCTCTACTACCTCTCCCCTCAAAATAACAAATTTACAAATAGAATGGGGAAAAAATCAGAAAAAAAAAAAGCCAAGGGTAAATGTTATGTTTGTAGAAAGCCAATATTCCCAGATATTGTGGACTGCRAGAATAAAGGATACTGAACTAGTAGCATGTTGAGTAACCAGAAAGTTTCAGACGGTCCAAGAGCACCTTGTCTTTAAAACTCGATGAAATAAGTMATGTTTTGAATCCCATGTATAGCAAAATACTGAGGTGAGAATATTTCCCAGAACTTGCAGTGAAAAAAATACTCTATTGCATACAGAACTGCTAAAGGAAAAAAGACATTAACTAGAAAGTTCATCCAGCAGTGTTATGGAAAGAGGCAGCTTTGGGGCCATTTGAAGGYTGCAGGAGATTTAGGGAGAGGATTGTGCCCCTGTGYCCCATTGCTCAGGTGAGACYCCACCTGCAGAGCTGCTCCAGCCCTGGGGCCCAGCACAGGAAGGAYRTGRAGCTGCTGGAGAGRGCCCAGAGGAGGCAGCAGGATGGTCAGAGGGATGGAGCAGCTGTGCTGGGAGGAAAGGCTGGGAGAGCTGGGATTGTTCAGCCTGGACAGGAGAAGCTTTGGGCTGAGCTCAGTGTGGCCTTGCAGGGCCTGA